ACTAATTACAGGTGCTCTTTAACATATGGTCACTGGAGAGCACATATCTGATCAATTAGAGCAATGGTAGAAAAACACCTGCCACAGGTGATGTATAGTCCGACTAGGGGGTTAGAGGCTTTAAAAAATAAACAGAAATCTGAGTGACTGGGTAAACAATGATTAAAATTGGAGGTGTGCCACGCTTTCTTTTAAAGGCATTCCTAAAACTTTTAATAAGTGCTATCATATTCTGAATGCACTAGATAAATTTACTCTTGAAAGAATACTATGGGGAAAAACATTCTTAAAGTGGACAATCCTTTCATAATAGGAATAACAGCCCCCTAATATATTTGTTTCATAAATTTATACTTTCACATATGGTTTAAACTTAAAGAAATATCTGTATCATAAATACAAGTCCCAAGGACCCAGGCCTACCACCAGCACTCGGTGCTAGATGAATGAATGAATAAGCATTTCAGTATTTACTTTCAGTGTGGTCTTTAATCTCAATGTGGTTCATACTCAAAGATTTTGAATCCTGTGAAATCAATGAGGCCAGTGCACAGCTCATAGGTAGAAGTCATAAAAATATGGACATTCACACAAGTAAAGTATAACTTTGTTCAAAACCTAAATTCACAACAGCAATAAATCTATGTTAAATATAAACAAAAGGAAGTCAAGAAAAAAGCAGGACAATTTTGATAATACCAGATAAATATCAATGTATATTTTTTGCTTTGTACTTAATAAAATGGTAAATAAGTTTACAAATATGTATAATCACTGAATCTGTTTTGAAACATGCTTTAATTTATTTTCTTTTGTTTCTGTGAACATATTTGAATTCTAACACTTGTCAAAGAAGTGAAAGGGAAATTAATTTTAAAAATTAGTTTGGAACTTAAACTGTAATCAAAATGTTTTAATTTTTTTAAATTAATTAGCTAATTTATTTTTAGTTTTCAACATTCAATTCCATAAGCTTGAGTTTTAAATTTTCTCCTCCTTGCTCCCCGCCTCCCTGCCTCAAGACAGTGAGCAATCTGATATAGGTTCTACATATACATTCCTATTAAACATATTTTCACATTAGTCGTGTTATAAAGAAGAATTAGAACCAATAGGAGGAACCACAAGAAAGAAGAAATAAAACAAAACAGAAGAAAAAAAAAGAGCAAATTGTATGCTTCGATCTGCATTCAAACTCTATAGTTCTTTCTCTGGATGTCGCTAGCATTTTCCATCATGAGACTTTTGGAGATGTCTCAGATCCTTACATTACTGAGAAGGGCTAAGTCTATCAAAGTTAGTCATCATACAACTTGGCTGCTATTGTGTACAACATTCTTCTGGTTCTGCTTACTTCACTCAGCATCAGGCCATAGAAGTCTTTCCAGGTTTTTCTGAAGTCTGCTTGCTCATCATTTCTTGTAGCACAATAGTATTCCATTACATTCATATACCACAACTTGTTCAGCCATTCCCCAATTGATGGGCATCCCCTCAATTTCCAATTCTTTGCCACCACAGAAAGAGCTGCGATAAATAAAAAATTTAATTTAAAAAAAAATTAATTCTCCCAACCCAACATTCTAAACACTGTTATTGTGCTGAAAAATTGAGAAGTCATCAAAATTTTGTCTTTGCTACCTTCACAGGGTTCCATTCATTGCCCTATTTTCAAGTCCTATGCCCTTGGCAGACCCCTACTCATACCATAGTCCTAATTTGTTCTCAGCTATCTGTCAACTAACTATTTTCACGGAAGAAGCACAGAATATTGGAGTTCAAAGGAACCTTGAAGATTTTATTTGATCCTTATTGGTGAAACTTAAACTAGAAAACTGAACTGATTTGTCCAAGTTCTGAATCTTTCTAATGGTGGAATTTCAGACACTCTGAATGGAAAGTTGGAAGGTTTGCCACTCCCTCAAATCAACCGGGTAGGGCCCTTAAGATCTGGTTACTCATATGCTGATTTCATTGAAGTCCTGACAGTTTTTGCTTTTCATCCTCTCCCTTTCTATAGTCTCTCTTCTACTCCAGCCTTTTTTCACCTCCTGCTTGTGTTTCTACAAGAGATTTCTTGATGGTTTCCCTGCATATACTCAGTCTATTCTATACATGCTGCTAGAATATTCTTTCTCTTAAACTATTTCCTACATTTCCTGCTCATGCTCAAGAAGTTTTCATTTAAATAGCATTTTACTGTTTGCAAAGCACCTTATATGCATTACCTCAACTGATCCTCAAAATTCTGAGAGATGATGCACATATTAATACTTTCATCATATACATAAATATAGCATACACATATATGCACATGTATATACAAACACATATGAATACATATACATGTGAGGAAAATGAGGCTAAAAGAGGTTGACTTTTTCTTATTTATCCTGTCTTATCTTCTAGTCCAGGGGTGGGGAACCTATGGCCTGGAGGCCACAAGTGGCCTTCTAGGTCCTTGGGTTTAGCCTTTTGACTGAGTCCAAGTTTTACAAAA